CGGAATATTAAACAGACTGCAATAAAACACAAAGTGAAACTGAAGGCGGCAGTAATGCTAACTATATACCTCATTAATTCAATAATTGTTCAAAATTTTTACTTGACCAAGTATAACAATGTAGAATATTTCAATTTCGTGTGTAACAACCTGATATTACGATATATTTTATTATATATTATTATTTTATGATTTATTTTTTGATGCTTTTATGTGTATGATTTACAATACAATGGAAGGTGCAAAAGTTTAATCCAGGCGAAATACAAATCAGCAAATATTACTTTCAATCGCCCAAACAAATAGTTAATTAATTGAATGGCCAATTCTCAAAGCAGGTCTTTGGAAGCATGTTGAAGGGGAGCCCACCGGACACATGTATCACCGACACCTACATATTAGCATTTAGCAGTACTATAACACAATGTGATGTGATTACGGTAAACCGTGTAAAGCAATACGTTATTCAAACAGTGAAAACGCCTCGCATCCTCGGCCGTATTTAACCCACCGCAGCCAGATGAGACGGGATACTAGAGAAGCGTTGCCAAAGGAGGTGTTGATCCCGAAGCGCTAAGCGACATTCTTGCGCGCCAGTTCCGCGGCAAGGCGCACGCCGACGCGGCGAACGTCCTACGACAGTATGCAGCGCTGGCAGCTATGGATCCGTGCGCCGAATGAATTTTGCGGGCACACGGATCCATAGCTGCCAGCGAACAGTCCGCACAATTTTAGTGGGGGACACAAGAGGGTATGACATTTGGGACGTGAACAGTGTTCACTTGTTATAAAAAACAAATGTCTCTCTTCGTAAACGAGCTGCTGTGACGCGAAATCACAGAAAGACTGACGAAATTCTCGCGTTGCCGCAACCTTGCCCAGTAATGGAAATGGCTGCAAGGACACAAGGCTATATAGACTGGGACTGCGCTCCCACCTCGATTACCAATCGAGTGCTAAGCTAAGCGCAGAACACGTAGCAATACATTTTACACAACGCGCACAAACACATACATCGCAATACATCGTATTATTATGTTAGGACTCTAGGCTATAGGCCAGTAAAAAATAACCTGTATATAAATATAATTGGAACATTCAGGGTTTATTCATTTCTGTATTACATGAGCCATTATGAATTAGTGGTTAATTTACGGTCCAGTACACTTCCTAACCTTAGCTATCAGTCTATATATCAGTTTACAGCAACTGCGCGTACACTACACCTACTTGCAAGTACAACTTCCCGTCACTATGATAGTAATGTAAATAACCGACAAGACTGTACATATCAGTGCGGATGACTGCAAGTCTCCACTGCAAGATGAAGGCTGCACTGCAAGATCATAGATAGATTCGACATACACGACTACCGGACCACCGCCCGCGTATGTAAACAAATTTGTAAAGCTGCATCTACGCTTGTTTACATACTCTATTTATAGTCGTTAGTCTGCCCATAACAAAATTCGACTTTCCTTTTAATTAGATGACCTTCGATGAAAAAAATTTCAGTTTGCGGCTCGTCATTATTTAACGAATGAAACGACGAACAATAAGAAAACTTTTGCCATGGTTATAACATATAGACGCCATGCTATCAATCCATGTGCATATATAGACTGGTACCGTCGACAGTTCCACACGGCGTACACTACGTGAGTGTACGACTATGCGGAGTAAAGGTGGCCAAAACGGTACCAGTCTACTATGCCTATAGCCTCGGCGTTCGTTGCGCCGTCTATCGCACGCCATATGTACTAGCACTCATCACACGAAACAAACAAAGAGAAAGTGCAAATACGTTTTTTACGAGCAAACCGAGCGCGCCAAGTCGCAAAAAAGTTATACGAGCATTTCAAGCAAATGGCAAGCTACCATGCGGTAGTGAAATCCGTCGTCCAATCGCCAGAACTGCTCAACTCAGCGAACTTGCTGCTTGCCTTATATATGTAAACCCGTTGTGAAAGTGATGGAAGGGGGCAGCGAAGTCGTGTTAGATTGCCGCCAGCGGCGTTGCGCGCTTCGCGTGCATATCCGGCTGCAGACTTGTCAAGAACAAGTCGGCACTGCGCAGCTACAACACACACGCGCGCCATGACTATATATAACAACATATATATACTACAATATATAACTACTATATAACAACTATATAACAAACTATATATATGTTGTTATATATAGTCAATGGCTGCCGTAGGCTGCAGGTGCCGACTTGTTCTTGCTGCCAGCTGATTTAACCAGCGTGGTTCAAGCGTTTCGCAAATCGCCGCGCATTCTTCCCTTTTCATCAAAATATTTACGTCTGAACCGGCATATTTGACGCGGTAGCTACAACGCCAAGAGAGACGTTCGCGCTGTCCTACGAAACAGCGGATCTGCCGGTTAGTGTGAAAGGCTGACTGACGTATCGCAGATGGTGAGCAGGATTACCTGTGTGTACGCAGGCAGGCACACACAACCACCACACGCACGCACGCACGCACGCAGCGGCACAACACACACGCCACACACGCAACACGCACACACGCACACACTCACACACTCACACACACCACACGCCAGCCACGCACGCACGCACGCACGCACGTTACGCACGCACACACACAACGCAAGCACACACATACACACGCGGCACACACACACGCACACACGCACGTGCACGCACACACGCACACACACACACACACACACACACACACGCACATACACACGCACACCGCACACACACACACACACACAGCACGCACGATACACACGCACACACGCACACACCACACTCACACTCACACGCGCACGCAGGCTGAACTTACACTCATATACACGGTCTATGGTGAACGCAACTGAGTTTCCACTACACAGCGGGCCCGCGGACGAACCAACCACCCAATTTCCCAAACACCAACTGCGTTTCAACCTATGATTGTTTACACTGTATGTTAGTTATACTTAGTTTGTTAGTTTGTATAAGAGGAGCCAGCTAATGGAAATGGGACGCGCGAGACATAGTGCGCGTGCCACCTGGATGGATACGAAAACAGATTTTACAGTGGAACAAAAAACACCAGTAGATAGAAACGAAGCCAGCCAGACGAGCCGGTATGGAGCGCCTTTTGACGATTCCTGTTTTATCATTATAATATATGATTCTAGACAACTACCCTGGACAACTACCACCGACAACTACCCACCAGGAAAATTACCGACCAGGAGGAATTACCCACCCGCGATTAATTACCCACCGCGACAATACCCACAGGACAATTACCCCCGACAACTACGCCAGGACAATTACCCAGCAGACAAGTACATATATATGAGTTATAAACCACTCCTAGCCCCCTCCATACGCACACACAATAAATCATCACATTGAAGCTTTCTTTATTGTGCCACCGGCACAGAAACCGGTACATTTCACCACATCCATGATACTCTGCTTTCCCTTTTCGTGAATAACAAGCAAATCGTTGGGCTGTTTGTGAGCAATTTACCGGATAAATGTGCTTTTCATGCAATCCCATCACGGTCTATGATTTTGTATTCTAATGCATTATTCAGTTCACGATCCCACCGTCGGCTATTTTTAGCACATGCGATCATTAGTAAAGCAAACAATAACGTTTTCCTGTAGTTACTATCTCACTACGTGGGTGTAAAAAACAAATACTGGTGCAATCGTGATGGGGTCTGTGTACACACCGATAGAGCTCATACTGTGGGTTGCAGTAAATCCATACGTTAACAAATATAGCATAGGTATAAATAATCAGCAAGCTCGCTCCAGTGTGCAAACTCACGCAGACTGGAGCCTTGTCTTACTGCTGAAGTTAACGGGAGCTCTTACTTGGGTTCAGAAGCAATTCTGCCTCAGGCACTTACGACGGAAGATTCCGTCACGCCTTCAGGCAGAACCATGAGAGAAAAATCGCTCTTCTAAGCATTAAAAGCCACTGTCGCTGGTGAACTTCACAGGGTCTTTACGTTGTTTCACAGTCCTTCTATTTAAGGTGGCGCGATTTTCGTCCGAGGCGACGTATCTAGCGTTTAACATCTCCTACGAGGTATTAATCAAAGTCAGGGCAGGTTAGGTGCGTGGTTAGTCCGCAGAGGTGTTCAGCAGATTGGAAGGGAGTTATCGTGTCTCCTCGTCCAAGCGCACAAGACGCGCCTTACGGCACGTCGGCAGAAAGCTGTCGATAGCTGAGGTGACGTGAACCGGAGCTGGTTGAGACGGCAGTCTGTAGCTAGCTGCTGCAGGTGTCTTCTCTTCACATCACAACGCAAATCACAGAGCCACACCTGCGTGCGTGCGTGCGTGCGTGCGTGCGTGCGTGCGTGCGTGCGTGCGTGCGTACGTGCGTGCGTGCGTGCATGCGTATATGTGTGGCACATGCATAACCACGTTTGTAGGGGTGGTGGGGGGGATGTAGTTGCAGGAACTCTGAAATGTAAGATTAAAAACACCAGATTGTTAAATAGATGGCCACAAAAGTTGCATGTAATAGCTTGATAGATAACAAATCACCTGTTCCCGAACATTCTTAAACGCAATTCTAAATTCATTGTATGCCTGTCCAGGTGGCACAAAATCCGGATACGGGGTTTGATCATACAGTGACAAACATTTGTAAATTCCCACGTAAGTGTTAAAAATACATAGTTTGCAAAACTCAAAGTTAAAGGCAAAATAATTCACAGAAAAAAAATCTCTTGTTTCTGCGACCTTGCCAGCATCCTTCAGGGTCATCTGCGTGACCCTCGCTGTGGTCACAACTCGAGGTTTAGAAGCAAAGAACTACAGTGCCGGTCAAGAGTTAAAGAGGATAAGAGTGTCACAATCACTAGATCTACGCAATGACGACGACGACGACGACGATGATGATGACGACGACGACGACGACGATGATGATGACGACGATGATGATGATGATGATGATGATGATGAGGGTCGTGTAAGGTCACGTGGTGGTCACGTCTTTGGCTTCCTCTTCCAGGTTGCTGAGGTCACGATTGCCATCCGCTCTCCAGCCACTGACGCAGCTGCACTTCTGGTGGCACATCATTGTCGGTTACTCCACCTACGTGCACATCATCTTTGCGTAAGTATCCGTCGTTTGCTCTCGTGCGAGATGTCTGTTTTCACGAATGTCATCTTTCATCTTCTCTCTCTTTTTCTCTTTATCTCACTCTCCCGTTCCTGCTCTCTCTCTCTCTCTCTCTCTCTCTTTTTCTCTGTATATACATATATATATATATATATATATAT